TATCAAAAGACAAAAAAGACAATACAGAGACAGGCTAGGCTCCTCTCTGCATTTATAAAGACAGTCTGAAAATGGTGCACGAAACCAATTTCAGGAGCTGGATTGAATTTTTAGCTTTGGAAAGACTTGATGAAATTTGAAGGTGGAAGGGACTCGATGGCTGAGCTGCCCCACTGACTTTAGAGGGGGGCTGGATCTGAAGTGTGGGGGCACGAATTTAAATATAACTGAGAGCTGTTTATGTGGGATATTAGGAGAAAAGAACTAGCAGCTCTGGTCCCGGAATTTGCTTAAGATTTTTCTTCCCCTGAAACACAGTATTAGTGCACAGAGACTATGCTCATATTTTGCTTAATTTTCTTCTAATATGTTAGTAGCACTTTACCTCACAGCCAAGCTGTGAACAATTTGCTGTCCGTAAGTTATGTGTGACCCAGAGACCTTTAAGTTCTGTTACTGCAAGAGGAATAATTTGCTCCGACTCTTCCGCAGCACAGTTTTTCCAAGTCAGTGTTTTGCAGTGCTCGCTGCTCGGGCAGACAGCAGTGCCCTTCACAGCTGCTTCTGACTTAATACCAGAAAATTGCCTAACAACTTCGATACTCCGTGCAGTACCGCGCTCAGCACTGCTCACCGTACGTGCCTCCGCTGAGCCGATGTGAAGGACGTGCTCTCACTGCTGTCACAAGTGGGCTTTTAAAAACCCCGTATCACATATACACTAACCCACAAATCTCAGCAATTAACCAAGACCCAGACGTGCTCTACCAAATCCAACATCTCGCTTTGGCGTTTTACAGTACGTAAGAGCCTGCAGTGGTTTGGGTTTGTTTGGTTTTTTTTTTCCAAGAGAAAAAAATGTACTTCCAAGAGAAAAAAAATTATTTACTGAAAGAAGTGGTTTTAACCATTTCTGAAGAAGTATTATGCAACGAAGTGCAAGACAAGACCAATATGTGTTGGAAGAACTGCTTCCAGTTGTAAGCTGCTCAGTGAGTGATGTATTACACAGCAGTGATTGCTGTTTGTAAGCCTGCTATAAGAACATTTTTGTGCCATTTTGGAAGATATACAAATAGTCTATTCTTGGGAACGAAAGCATGGCAGCACTTACACCTTGTGGCTTTTTTCCCATTTTCTTACCTTTTTTTTTTCCCAAGGTTCTCCCTGAATATCTTCCAAAATGGCACAAAAATGTTCTTATAGCAGGCTTACAAACAGCAATCACTGCTGTGTAATACATCACTCACTGAGCAGCTTACAACTGGAAGCAGTTCTTCCAACACATATTGGTCTTGTCTTGCACTTCGTTGCATAATACTTCTTCAGAAATGGTTAAAACCACTTCTTTCAGTAAATAATTTTTTTTCTCTTGGAAGTACATTTTTTTCTCTTGGAAAAAAAAAACCAAACAAACCCAAACCACTGCAGGCTCTTACGTACTGTAAAACGCCAAAGCGAGATGTTGGATTTGGTAGAGCACGTCTGGGTCTTGGTTAATTGCTGAGATTTGTGGGTTAGTGTATATGTGATACGGGGTTTTTAAAAGCCCACTTGTGACAGCAGTGAGAGCACGTCCTTCACATCGGCTCAGCGGAGGCACGTACGGTGAGCAGTGCTGAGCGCGGTACTGCACGGAGTATCGAAGTTGTTAGGCAATTTTCTGGTATTAAGTCAGAAGCAGCTGTGAAGGGCACTGCTGTCTGCCCGAGCAGCGAGCACTGCAAAACACTGACTTGGAAAAACTGTGCTGCGGAAGAGTCGGAGCAAATTATTCCTCTTGCAGTAACAGAACTTAAAGGTCTCTGGGTCACACATAACTTACGGACAGCAAATTGTTCACAGCTTGGCTGTGAGGTAAAGTGCTACTAACATATTAGAAGAAAATTAAGCAAAATATGAGCATAGTCTCTGTGCACTAATACTGTGTTTCAGGGGAAGAAAAATCTTAAGCAAATTCCGGGACCAGAGCTGCTAGTTCTTTTCTCCTAATATCCCACATAAACAGCTCTCAGTTATATTTAAATTCGTGCCCCCACACTTCAGATCCAGCCCCCCTCTAAAGTCAGTGGGGCAGCTCAGCCATCGAGTCCCTTCCACCTTCAAATTTCATCAAGTCTTTCCAAAGCTAAAAATTCAATCCAGCTCCTGAAATTGGTTTCGTGCACCATTTTCAGACTGTCTTTATAAATGCAGAGAGGAGCCTAGCCTGTCTCTGTATTGTCTTTTTTGTCTTTTGATATAGAAAAGGTATTTTTTATCTCCATAGGGAATCTTTTAAAGATCTTCTTATTGAGTTAGTGTTTCTGTTGCACTTTTTTTCTTGCAGGTTGGTGGTACTAAATATTCTTCCAGCATTTTTTACTTATGTCTCTCTGGAATGCCAAGGTCTTTTTACAATCCCAAGATTTTTTTTCTATTTTCTAGATAATACTATTTCTGCCATTTTACCTATAAAGTCACTATCAATTCAAAAAGAAAAGTAGTTACCTCAGTGTATTCCTCTTATCCTTAGAGGGAATGCCTGTGGCCACAGTGCAGCCTGAGAAATTTAGATTTTCATCAGCTAAATTGCATAAAATCAACTTGGAATGAAATGGTTGTATAGCTTTCATCTTGGAAACTGAAATGTATCCCACTCTAGCGTTGGTCCTGCGTGGGTATTGGCCTCGGGTTTCTCATAGTCTCTTGGAGTTGGAGAAGATTTACCAAAGATTTTTAATATTGTGCTTTCAGTAGCTTATAATTTTAGCAAAGTTACACTGCTTGAATTCAGATTTTTAATAACAGATGGCTGAATTTTCTGAAAAACTCTAGCATAACTGTTCTGCCACGTTGGATGTGAAAACAA